GCTGCAAATAAACACATCAAAGGAAGGTCTCAAAAGAAAAGCCTTCCATCCCTCCAAAATAAATACAATAAAATAAAAATAAACAGAGATATTTATATATAAAATGAAAGAGAGAAAGCCCTTCCCATACCGATCCATATCCATATTCCCCACCCTTACCCAAAAACTCATAATATCATGTCACATCATATATATAATCCTGCCAAAAAGAAAAAAGAAGGAAGAAAAAGAAGAAGAACCCTCGCTGTATACAACTTGTAACCCCATAAAAAAAAATATACGTTTTTAAATCATAAGCAACCGCCCTTCTTTTTCTTTTTTTAATTTACCGCCGACTACTATACGTCGCTTCCGCCCTTTATTAACCAACGGGGGCGGCCCATCGCTCGGATACGGTAACTTCTCAATTCTATTACCATTACCATTACTATTTAGATTTAGATTTCCATTTAGATTGCCATTGCCAAAACCACTCGGTAAGCTCCCATAATAATTACTGTTCGGCCTATTCGGCGCCCGGGGTGGAATCGGCATGACTGCTGGTGCATACCCATGCCCTTGTCCATGTCTGTACCCCGACCCAGATCCCGACCCCGATCCCGAGCCAGCGGTACCAGGGCCTGAACCAGGGGCTGAAGCATGGACAGAAGAGGCATGCCCGTAGCCATCTTCCGGATATGGGATGGGTGTCTTGGGCGGTAGTGGTGGTGGGGGTGGCGGGTGACTTGGTGGTGGACTTAGGGGCGGGGAGTTGGAGAGGAGGACCTGGTTTTGGTTTTTGTGGCTGCTGTGGGGGCGGGTCGTTGATACTGCTTGTGGAAGTGGGTTTATGAACATTTCGGAGCTGAGGCGGGGGGGGGAGGTGATGTTGTTACTGTTGTTGTTGTAACTGCTTTGTGGGCGGCTACTGGGGTTATGTTGGTCATTGTTGAGGCGGGTTTGGGAGGTGAAGGGAGACGATTGGTTATGGGTGGGTGTGCTTGGGATCGGTATCGGGACCGGGGCGGGGGCATTGTGGCTGAAATTGAGATGGTGAGGATATTGGTCGGAGGTGAGGATTGTATACTTTTCTTGGGGGGAAGAGGTTGTGTTGTGTATTTCGGGATAACGCGGAGGAGGGAGGGGGGGTGGTGGGTTAGAATTGTTGTTGTTGTTATTATTATGATGCATGGAAGAAAAGGGTATAAAATCTTCCCCGGGGAGTTCGACTGCGTCTGGGAATTCAATGGTGGAGGGTTGTGACGGGCGGCGAGGACTAGTTTGCGGAGAAGACATGGGCATCGGGATAGGTGGAACCGGTCGATGATACTGCCGTTGAAACACGTCCCTATCTTCCAAGCCTTCGTCAAAACTGTTCGAGTCGGCGCCCCAGGACTCCTCCGCCAGTCCGTCTCTAGCCATCCTACGACGAATAAAGTGCATCTTAGCCAACTTGGCGGCAGACTCCTGGTTCATCTTCTGCACGTCGCTCCGGGAGAGATAGTTCCGCGTGCTTGTGCTAATTTCCGCCAAGCGATTCCACTCATTCATTCCAAACTCACCCACGCCAACTTCGACGTTGAGACGGACGTAATTCTCCAGTGGGACGTTGCGTTTCCGGAGATGTTCCTTGAGCATATATTGATGCGTCTTTTCGCAACCTTCGATTTTCGCGATTAGCCGTCTTCGTGCTTCCGCGAAGTTGCCCAGGGAATCAGCAAAAACGTCCTCCCACCACTCATGTTGGATATGGTTTGTTCCTGGGGGTCGTTTGCCTGTTCCGACGCTGACGAAAAGACCCACTTCTCTCCCTGGCCATTCGTTGACGGTGGCTTCGTCGAGAACCAATGGCGCGGGATTATATTTACCAGCACCTTCGTCGATGAAAACATGCTGTCCCACTAGAATCGGCTTGAATGCGAGTCCTGTAGCAGCCGTAGCCCGTCCGGCTTGCCATATTGTACAGTTGAATTCCGGAGGGGGTTCCTTTCGCGAATCATATGATCGTAGCAAGGTCGGAGTTCCATTCAACGGAGTCCCTTTGTATACTGCCGCTACCGCGCTGATATAGGAAGTCAGAAATACCCATACTCGTACATATATATATATACATATCGAGAGAAGAAGAAAAGAGAGAGAAGAAAAACTCACGTCTTCGTCCTATGTTCCCGCTTATCGTAAAGCATGGCATCGGCATTTCCCCAACTCGGCCCTTGTGAAGTCCCCGTCGGTCCGCGCGAACTCACCGGCGACCGAGCCGGCGACGCACTAGACCTTCCAACACTTGACCGACTGGTCCGTCTCTGCACAGTGTGAGCGGACTGCGGGCGCGGCACCGGTCCATGCAAATAGATAGGTTTGGGGGGCATGGGGGATCCATCATTACCCTCCGCGCTAGAGACTGTATGTTCCCACACGCACCGACGGATGGCCTCTTCTAGCTTCGAGGCCTTGAACAAAGTTGATCGATAGGGAATTCCGGCAATGGTCTTGTCGGTCTCGAAGACTCGTTTAGTCATGCGCACGTACACGTCCTTGCAAGTCTCCAGGTCCAGCCGTAGCCGACCAAGCATGAGCGCGATGAGCCCACCGGTTCCCGTGCCGGCGATAAGGTCGAAGTGATCGCAGGGCTTTGGTATTTGGTGGCGCGAGGGGGCTTTCCCTTCACATTCGACATACGTGCGGTGCATGAGCTCTTGAAGGAGGATAAGCATAGAATATCCACGAACGCCACCGCCATCTATAATTTTTTTTGTCACACACCAAACGGTTCCATGATCAGTAAATTGATTTCTTTCTTTCTTTCTTTCTTTCTTTCTTTCTTTTTTTCATAAGTGGAGAGGTGTTGAAACTTACCTAGTGAGAGAATCCGTAGCGGTGGACCCTTCGTGGTATCCTTGCGGCGGATATGTAGAGTATCCATGATGACGACGTATGGAACGGGGCGGGAGTTCAACTGGCACGCGATACTATCCCCCCCCCACCACAGTATCCACGCCGCGGGAAAAGATTTATTTAAAAACGAGAAATCAAACAGACCAGAAGATATGTAGTTTTTTTTAGCTGGAGGAGTATGTGCCCGCCTGCCGCAAAGGTGGGTTTATCTAGTCGGAAAGAGAAAAACGGAGTAAGGAATCAAAAGAAAAAAAAGAAAAAAAAAGAGAGAGAGAGAGAGGAGGAAGAGTTGGGAAGCAGCAAGATAATACCCGGAAGTCAGGAGTACTAATCAGGGGCAAACGAGAATATTCGCCTGTGAGATCCGGGGATAAGATTAGGACTTCGCCATGCTAGTTGGAAGGGGGGAAGGTGTCTGTGTGGTGACTCTGGTGAGGATTAGAGGGATGTAAGAGGGACGGGGGGGAAATGGTGACGTTGGTGACGTTGGTGGGAGGGATGAGAGGAGAAGAGGAAAAGAGAGAGAGGATGCTGAGGCTGAGTCCAGTGGGAAACGTGGCGTAACATTTTCTGCCCTGTTGCTAACTACTAACCAGTAGAAACCAGTAGAAAAACCACAACGACGTAATCAGTTGTTTGGCTAATTAATTATTATTGAGTCAGCCAGAGAGACGAAGAACTTGAGACATTTTTTGGTGTATACTGTACTATTCTATTATTCATCCTGCTTGGGGGGGGGGGGGGGTACATAATACCAACACCAGTGTATATAGTTCTTTTCTTAACTACTACCATCTAAAACATGCAAGAAAAGGGAAAAATATAAATACACAAAGCAACGGGTCCTATTCCCATGGAATACCCCACAAGCCAAAATTTACATCCAGAGTTACCGAGATACAAATAACCATGGATAGTACTAGTAACTAGTGGAGAAGACAGAACAGCAGTACCACGGAGGTGGGAATTGTAGTATCCCACACGCCTGGGTCGAGCCCTATTTTTTTTTCAAGGAGGAAGAAGAGCAGACAAATACATACATTTTGATATCATGACAAATGAACCCTCCCTTCCCGTTTACAAAGCCCGAGAACCCCAGTTGAACTTGTTGGGTTCTGGGTCTCAGATTCCCCCCCCCAAAGTCCAAAAGTCATCCAAAAGTCAATGACGATTTGTTAAGGTTGCCCAGCCAATGTCAGCCCATGACAGGTGTGGCGGTGCACTAGCTTGTTCTTTTTCTTTGGTTTTTTTTAACATTAGCACGGGAGAATACCAACTTGAAAAATTATCTTGAGGCTCATTTTCTTCTATTCATAGACACTCAACTGGTTCATACCAATCTACTTGATACCATCTGCGGAAATAACGTCGATCAGCGGAGAACCCGCATCAAGAGCAGTAGTGCTTATCTGCAGGGAAAAAGGGGGGTTTCCATATTTATATTCTCCGTAAAATCTGATTTTCTTTCTCCAACAAACCTAGGATCGAACCTAGTACAGTACCTTGCATATTATCTAGAAATTATACACCCAGAAAAAAAAATCGGGGAATAAAGATGACCCAAAAGGGGTAAAAAAGAAAAAAAGAAGAAGAAGAAGAAGAAAAATTGATTCTCTTCCCCCACCCAACCTGACCACTGTTGTGGGTTATATATTATTTACTACTTGTCCTTAATAGAATACTCCTGCACGGAGGTTTGATAACTACTACTAGCTTCCAGGCCGCTTAGGCACAAAATGACAAATGTCATAACTCGGTAGATCCCCGGTATTTTAGCCCCCACCGGGGGTCGAACCCGGAACCTTGCGGTTAAAAGCCGCACGCTCTGACCATTGAGCTATGGAGGCTGATTGGTTGACGGGTCACTGTCAATGAGCCAATTGCTGACTCGGGGTGGGATCAAATCGATTGCTTCTACTGCGTACAAGATAACAAAAGAACAAAAGAACAAAAGAACAAAGATAAATTCAGATAAAAAATTCGGGGAGACAAGAAGAGAAATGAGGGAATGAGAGGGGGGTTTTAGAACGCCTGGGTGGAAAAGAATTCGCTGTTCGAACTTCATGCGGTGTCAGCTTAAATCTATTAATAGTAATAATAGAACCATTTGCGGCCAGCAGGGGTGCATTTGAACTTCTACACAGTACTACATAGTTACTCAATTTTTTACTCTACGCAGTAAAATTTGTCTTCATAGTCCTTTTATTTTGCTGCTATTGACAAGGCATTATTTTTCTCTCTACTGAGTTCTCCGTACTTCTCTCTCTATTATCTCTGTCAAGGCAATAAGCACACATTCACATCTGTCAGACTTAATCCTTGAGGGCCCTGGGGTTCCCTTTACTTCCCTCCCCAACCTACTACTAGGTATCTGAATCAAAACAATGGCACTGTGAGAAAAAAAAAAAAAAAACAAAAAAAAAAAAAAAAA